AGCGCGAGAGCCCAAAAGTGGCGACGGTTACAAGGATTGGACGACCCGCTCGGATTAATAACATGATCCGCGGGCCCCATAGGGAGGGGGTTCCCGCTTAAGACTTCCTCGCAATTCACTCACAGATGTTGCCTGGGAATGGCGTTCTGGCAGCGCGAGAGCCCAAAAGTGGCGACAGTTATAAGAATTGGACGACCCGCTCGGATTAGTAACGTGATCCGCGGGCCCCATAGGGAGGGGGCTTCCGCTTGAGACTTCCTCCAATTCACTCCCAAACGAGGCCCAAGGCGAGTGAGTTAGTGAGTGAGTAATTGACTGACTGACTGGTGATGACGATGATCATCACACTCTCTCATGCGCACACTCATCATCATATGTGAGTGCTGATGAGTCAGTGAATGAGTGAGTGAGTGAGTGAGTGAATGAGTGTGTGAAGGATGATGAGTGAGTGAGTGAGTGAGGAATGAGTGATGATGATGATGATGGTGGGATCCTGTTCCTGCGCGGGGTGTCCAGAAAAATTCGCTCCGACAGAAGGACCCCGCATGAGAACCCCCTGGGCGAATCTGGAAAAAAAAAAAAAAAAAAAACAAAAAAAAAAAAAAAACTCACCGTCGTCCTCGTGGGTGGTGAAGCATCCTGGCTGTCTCTTCTGCGTATATTTTTTCTCGCCCTGGCGCGGGCCCTCCCCCCGCTCCCTACGTTGCCCCCGACCTCGCCCTCCTGTTTTGACTCCGGACATTCAGAAAGTGGCCCGGGAGTGGTGTTCTGGGAGCGAAGTGGCCTACAGTTGGCTCCGGGCATTCAAAATGTGGCCCGGTACTGGTGTTCTGGGAGCACGAAGAACACGAAGTGGCCGACAGTTGGCTCCGGGCATTCAAAATATGGCCTGGGAGTGGCGTTCTGGCAGCGCGAGAGCCCAAAAGTGGCGATAGTTATAAGAATTGGATGACCCGCTCGGATTAGTAACATGATCCGCGGGCCCCATAGGGAGGGAGCTCCCGCTTGAGATTTCTTCGCAATTCACTCACACATGTGGCCTGGGAATGGCGTTCTGGCAGCGCGAGAGCCCAAAAGTGGCGACGGTTACAAGAATTGGATGACCCGCTCGGATTAATAACATGATCCGCGGGCCCCATAGGGAGGGGGCTCCCGCTTGAGATTTCCTCGCAATTCACTCACAGATGTGGCCTGGGAATCGCGTCCTGGCAGCGCGAGTGCCCAAAAATGGCGACAGTTACAAGAATCCCACCAGCCCTTTGGGGGTGAGTGGTTTAGAGAGCTCTCTCTGTCCTCATCCCCCCAACCCCCCTTCTTCCCCTTCGGGGAGGGGTTTACCCCTCTCCCTACCCCCTCCCCCTGGGCCTGGAGAGGGAGTTCCGCGTGTCGTTGGAGGGGTCTTTTTCGACTCCTGGGAGGGCCAAAAAACGACGACCCTCACGAGGATTCTGGCCCCGACGGGGGGATACAGAAAAAACCGTTTCCTCTTCTGTGAAGCCAAAATCATTGATTTTACTACGGTTTTGGCCCCATGTTGGCCTTCTCAGGGGGCAGCGCTCCTCTTCCTTGTTCTCAAAATCATTGATTTTACCAAGGTTTAGGGCTCATTTTGTCTTTCTCAAGGGGTAGCGCTCATTTGCGCTTCTGAGGAGGGCGCAAGAGGCCCCCAAGAGGCCCCAAGATGCCCCCAGGAGGCTCCCAAGAGGCCTCCACGAGGCCCCCAAGAGGCCCCCAAGGGGCCCCCAGAGGCTCCCAACAGGCTCCCAAGAGACCCCCACGAGGCCCCCAGAGCCCCCAAGAGGCTCCCAAGAGGCCGCCAAGAGCTCCCCAAGAGGCCCCGAAGAGGCCCCAAGAGGCCCCCAAGAGGCCCCCAAGAGGCCCCACGAGGAGCCCGAACGACTCACACCAGGACGAGAGGCCCGAACGACTCACACCACGAAGAGCCCGAACGACTCACACCACAAGGAGGGGCCCGAACGACTCATACCAGGGCGAGGCGCCCGACCGACTCACACCACGAGGAGCCCGAACGACTCACACCACGACGCGGGCCTCCAACGACTCACACCACGAGGAGCCCGAACGGCTTCCAAAAGACATATACTACTACTTCTTCTCCTACGATTACTGTTACTCCAACTACTACTACTACTACTACTACTACTACTACTACTACTACTACTACTACTACTACTACTACTACTACTACTACTACTACTACTACTACTACTACTACTACTACTACTACTACTACTACTACTACTACTACTACTACTACTACTACTACTCGTTTGACTACATCATCTCGTACTACTACAACTACAACTACTCGTGCGACTACTACCAGATCTACGCGTACTACTATGAGTCCTACTACTACTAGAACTACTACCACTACTATTACTACTACTACTACTACTACTACTACTACTATTACTACTACTACAACTACTACTTCTACTACTACTACTACTACTACTACTACTACTACTACTACTAC